GAGAGAGTTATTTTAAGAAAAGTAAATATTAAACCTGTGATGTTCTAAATGTATCTCAGTGAAGTTATATAATGTAATGCCCGATAAAATAACGTAAATGACAGTAAAGGGGAAGACTGAAAACAAAAATAGAAACCAAGAAAGAACTATATTGCAAATATATTCTAAAAATAATTTGAGTTAACTGTACTTTATATCTTCTTAAAAGCATAAAACTGTTTCTAGGTTTAGCTATATCACATGCTTTGCCTTTTCTTTTCTCTCACTAAAATTTATCTGTATTGATTTTTATTTATTTATTTTTCTATTTTTGTGTCCACATTTACATAGTCACTGCTGATAGATATACAACTTGTATTCCTTTAAACAAAAACCCAAAACTAAAACAATTTTTAAAACTCTACCTACTTCAACTCATGTTAAATTGAATTCTTTTCTTTTTCTTTTTCCTTTGGCCGGGATTGGGATTGAACCCACCACCTCCTCCAGCATATGGGGCCCACGCCCTACACTTTTGAGCCACAGGCACCACCCCAAATTGAATTCTTTTCTGCAAATATAAAAACATTTATAAATTATTGTAAATGCACATGTAGAAGATAGGCTTTGATGTGCAAAAAAACCCCAATGATTACAAAAGAGCCCTGGGAGCAGAGGAGAAATCCCACTTCGCATTACCTGTGGTTTGGTGAGTAATGGAAGAAACTGCCATGCTGGTTGCGATTCAAAATGCATCAGCTTTCATCTCGAGTCTACGTGTACTCTGTGTTTTGATTGATAAGCTTGTCATTGGTTTGCTTTTCAGGTATATCCATCGTAATGTATGTGATTTCACAAACATTATTATCTAACAAATCCCTGGAAGTAGTTAAAAAGAGTGCATGGGCCTGAATGCAGTGAGGTCATATTTCACATTGTAATCAATAAAATGGGGCCATCCTCTAAGAGCTTAGTATCTGAGTCGGGGTTTAGATTATCAGGGTGGAATAGGTATAGTATTCCAGAGTTCATGTCAGGCTTTGGGAGGTAGAGACACATTATAATCCATGCAAAGCCAAGTATTACATTTAGTTTCATTCATTCCCTTGACAAATTCCCTTTTCAGAACTACTCTTGGTCGAACAAAATATTGTTTCAGAGAACTCGAAGTAACAAAGCTGGCATTTCAATTTTCTATTTCCATTTTCAAAATGTAAAAAGTGATGTATTTTCAGAGCTGCATCACTGTGCTTATTTAAGTAAATTAGCCCAAAAGAACATAGCACATAGATTCTGTCAGTTATAGAGTAATGGAATCATAGCAGTGATCCACCAGTGTTATATATTTTCTAAAATAAATTTAATACAGAGAATGGAATATGTAGGTTTTTTCCAAAAATTTATCTGTTGCTTATTATCATTATTTTAAAATGCAAATAGAAACTAGAATCTCTATTTTTATTATTCTACATTTTTAATTTATTTATTGATGATTTTATTGATTGATTTATTGATGTAAAACATACCTATATAATTTACCATCTTTATCATTTTAAAGTTCAGTGGTAATAAATACATGCATATTTTCCCCGTGTTTATCCACCCTCTTCACTGTACTTGGTGGCATCTGATAACTACCAGTCTACTATTCATCTTCATGAGATACACTTTGTAATTTTCACATACAAGCGAGAACACGCCATATTTGTCTTTCTGTGTTTGACTTACTTTATTTTCATAATGGCCTCCAGTCACACCTGTGTAGCTACAAATAACAAGGTTTCATTCTTTTTTGTTGATGAATAATATTCCATGGTGCATATATACCACATTTTCTTGATCCATTAATCCATTAAGGTGAGCTTAGGTTGATTCCTTATTTTGGCTATTGTGAATTATGAGCAATAAACAGAGGAGTGCAGATATTTCTTTGGCAACATGGGAGTGCAGGTATCTGTTTGGCATGCTGATTTTCTGGATATTGGATACACACACACACAGAGACACACACACACACAGTACTGAGATTGCTAGATCATATGGAAATTCTATTTTAAGGTTTTTGAGGAGCCTCTATACTGTTCTCCATTAAGACTGTATGAATTTACGTTCCCATCAACAATGTACATGTCTATGGGTTCCTCTCTCTTCGACATCCTCATCAGGATGTTATTGCCTTTTCGATACAAGCCATTATTACTAAAGTGAGATGATATCACATTGTAGTTTTGATTTGCATTTCTCTGATAATTAGTGACATTCATCTTTTTTTTTTCATATAACTGTTGGCCATTTGTATGTCTTATTATGAAAAATATCTATTCAGATCTTTTGTTCATTTTTTAACCAGTTATTATTTTGCTATTGAGTTGTTTGAACTCCTACATTGTGCTTATTAATCTTGTAAGATGGGTAGTTTAGAAATATTTTCTCTCATTCTGTACGTTGTCTTTTCACTTTATTGATTGTTTTCTGTGCTGTGCAGAGCTTTTAGCATGACGCAATCACAACTGTCTATTTTTGATTTGGTTGCCTATGCATTTGAGGTCTTACATGTATACAAAAAAATACTTGCCCACATCAATATCTTGGAGTTTTTCTCTAATTCTTTTCCTCTACTAGTTTATAGGTTTAGGTCTTAGGTAAGTATTTACTTCATTTTGATAAGACTTTTGTGTAAGGTGACAAATAAGGATTTAGTTTCATTCATCTGCATACAGTTATTCATTTTTCCCAGGACCATTTATTGAAAAAAAAAGTCCTTTCCACATTGTATACTCTCGGAGCCTTTGTCAAAGATGAGCTATATTCTTCCTTAATGTTTTGCCATATCTCATAGATATTGGTATGTTTCCATTTTCATTTGTTTCAATAATTTTTTAAATTGTTTCTTTTAATTTTTTATTGACCCAATGGTCTTTCAGGAGCATGTTGTTTAATTTCCATGTGTTTATATATCTTTTAAGTTCCTTCTTTTTATTGAGATCTAGTTGTATTACATTATGGTTGGAAAATATAGTTGATACTATTTTTATTTTGTTGACTTTGTCTAGACTTGATTTGTAGTCTAAGTTATAGTTTATCCTGAAGAAGGTCCAGTGAGTTGTAGGTAAGATATATATTTTACAGCAGTTGGGTAACATGTTTTATAAATGTTTGTTAAGCCTATTAGATACTAGTGTGTAGTTTAACTCTGCTATTTCTTTGTTAATTTTCTGCCTGAATGATCTGTCCATATGAGAGTGGGGTGTTAAAGTCCCTATATTATTATTGTATTGCAGTCTATCTCTCTCATATATATAAGCTCTTAATTGTTATACCCTCTTGCTGACTTGACCCTTTTATCATTATTTGGTGAGCTTCTTTTTCTCCTTTTACAGTCTTTAATTTGCAGTCCATTTTATTTTATCTCATAGAAATATAGCCTTTTGTTGTTGTTGTTCTTTCTAGTTACATGGACTATCTTTTCCAATACTCACTTTCAGTCTATGTGTGTCTTTGTGTCCTTTGTATGTTAAATGGATTTCTTTTTTAAAAGATTTCAGATTAATATGAAGGTACAAATGTGGTTAGGTTACCACATCACAAAATCCCCAAACTGCCGATGCTGGTATGGATATGGTGAGAAGGGAACAATTTTATGCTGTTGGTGTGAAGTAGCTTTCTTTCTTTTTTTTTTAGTTGCCCTGAGGTAAAGTTCCATGGCATCATAGCTCACAGCAACCTCAAACTCCTGGGTTTGATTGATCCTCTTGTCTTAGCTTCCAGAGTAGCTGGGACTACAAGTGCACAGGTGCCTGCCACACGCTCAGCTAGTTTTGTTGTTGTTTGTTTGTTTGTTTGTTTGTTTTTCTCTTTTTAGTAGAGGTGGGGGTCTTGCTTTGCTCAGGCTGATCTCAGACTCTTGAGCTTAGATAATCCCTGCCTCCCAGAGTGCTAGGATTATCCCTGTGAGCCACTGCGCCTGTCCTAGAAGTGGATTTCTTAAAGGCAGTGAAATCTTGTAATCTTGTTTCTCTTCTTACTCAGCTGCTCTTTGCTTTCAGTTGGGACATTCAAACCATTTATCTTCAATGTTATTATTGATGATAGGACTTACTACTGCTGTTTGTTGCTTGTTTTCTGATTATTTTGAGCCTTCTCTCTTCCTTTCTTACTACCTTTCCTTGTGATTTAGTCATTACCTCTGGTAGTATGTTCTAATTTGTTGCATTTTACTTAATGTGATATAAGTTTTTGTACTATGGTTACCATGAGTCTTACAAAAAAATCTATATATATATAACAAATTATTTAAAACTTAATATCTTCTATCACAAGGAAAAAATAACCACACAAAAAACTATGTTGAAACTCCATCCCCCCACATTTTGACTTTTAGTTGTCTCAATTGACATATTTTATGTTACCTATCTCTTATTAGATTGCTGTGTAGCTAATTTTTTGATAGATTTGTCTTTTGGGCCTTATACTAGAGGTATGAGTTGATTACACATCACAAATACAGCATTATAAGTTGATTCTACACACAAATACAGCAGTAGAATATTCTGGGTTTGTCTATATACTTAATATCACCAGTGCATTTTGTACCTTGAAAAGTTTTATTTTGCATAATGGTGATTTTTCCCCCTTAGGATTGAAAAGCTCTCTTTAGTATGTTTTGTAAGATGAGTCTGGTGGTGGTGAATTCTTTCAGCTTCTGTTTGTCTAGGAAAGATTTTATGTCTTCTTCATGTTTAAATGAAAATTGTTCTAGGTAAATATTCTTGGATCACAGTTTATTTTTCCTTTGGACCCTTGAAAATATAGTTCCATTTCCTCCTAGCCCATATAGTTTCTGTTTAGAAGTCTATTGTCAGATTTCATATATATTATTTGCTTCTTTTTTTCTTGCTGTTTTTTTTTAATTTTATGAAAATTTTATTAAGCAATTTTTCAAATATATAGTACAGTTGAAAAAATTATACAGTGATCACCCATACACTCACCACATATATTTTATAATTTTTTTTTTCTTCACATGTAGGGGACTTGTTCATAAGAAGGCCACGAATTTTGTGTGCCCCTCATCACAATCACCCTAGATTCTTGTTGGGTGTGTTATAAACAGAGGAGCCATTCTTTAGGGCCCCCTGCTCTGAGCACATCCCTTTTTCTTGCTGGTTTTTGGATTATCTCTTTGTCCCTGACATTTGAACTTTTAGTTATTAAATGGCTTGGGGTAGTCTAATATGGATTGAATCCTTTTGGTGTTTTAAGACATTCCTGTACATGTATATTTGTATCTTTCTCATATTTTTGAACATTCTCAATTATGATTTCTTTCAATAAGCTTTCTACCCCTTGCTCTTGCTCAGCTCCCTCTTTGGCACCAGTAATTCATTGATTTCATCTTTTGAATTAATTTTCTATATCTTGTAGGTGACTATATCATTTAAGCAGGAAGTAAAGGATACTTTGAATTTATTTTGGGAGAGGAATAGCAGCAGTTACAATGTTGGGTAGAATAAGTGGAAAAGTATGGAGGAAGCAAGATTGGTGGTGGTTATTGATAATGATTCTAACTATTGCTAATTGTACCTATTATGCCTACTCTGTTCTGGGCTTTTTATATGAATTCATCTATTTAATGCTCAAAACATCTTCAAAAAGCATTTGAAGTGATTTTTTTGATTAAAGTGATTATTATTGATCTATTTTCTGAGGTGAGGAAGTTGAAGCTGAGAAATATATTTAGTAAGTTATAAATCAGAGACTTAAACCCTGGTCTGATTCCAAACCTTAATATTGATTGAAATATAAAAGCTCTTTAAATGCCCAAGGTAAATGTGACTTTTAGGATATTTAAGATAATTTTATTATAAGTTAGAAAATTATAGCAACAAAATACAGATGCATTTTCATATTAAAAGTTAAATCAAACCAGCAACATATATAACAATTTTAAATACGTGTATTCAGCTAAAATAAATACTTGACACATACTGTATCATCAGAAATTTTGTTATTATATAATTGTTTTTAATATTTCTGATTGGTTTTGTTATTATATAATTGTTTTTAATATTTCTGATTTAATATTTCTGATTAACTAGACATTCAAGACATGTATACATTCGAAGCATGTATTATAAAGAGAAAGTATATAGAAAGGCGTTTTGGAGCACTTGCTTGTGTTGTGTAATTCTTAAAAGTCTCCATAATACGGTGGTGCATATTTTCTTTATTACATATATAATATTCTTTCTTTCTTTCTTTCGAGACAGACTTTCACGTTATCACCCTAGGTAGAGTGCCATGGAGTCAGAGCTCACAGCAACCTCAAAGTCTTGGACCCAAGTGAATCCTCAGCCTCAGACTCCCAAGTAGCTGGGACAACAGGTGCCCACCACAATACCTGGCTATTTTTTGGAGAGCAGACTCAGGCTTGTTTTGAACTTCTGAGCTTAAGCAATCCACCTGCCTCAGCCTCCCAGAGTGCTAAGATTATAGGTGTGAGCTACCATGTCCAGCTATAATATATTTTTTTCTTCCTTTTTTTTTTTTTTTGAGACAGAGTCTCAAGCTGTTGCCCAGAATAGACTGCTATGGCATCACAGCTCACAGCAACCTCCGACTCCTGGGCTCAAGCAATTCTCCTACCTCAGCCCCCCAAGTAGCTGGGACTACAGGTGCCCGCCGTAACACCTGGCTATTTTTTGGTGGCCGCTGTCATTGTTGTTTGGTGGGCCCAGGCTGGATTCGAACCGCCAGCTCAGCTATATGTGGCTGGTGCCTTAGCTGCTTGAGTCACAGGCACCAAGTCAATATAATGTTATTTCTTAATGGCTACAAAATTGAGTTATATTATATTATCTCAAGATTATACATTAAACATTATTACCACCTGCTTTTTATCTAATGCTAGGTTTAGTAATGCAATATGAAGCCACAGTATGAGGCCTATTAATGGCACATATTGGGTACCACCCTGACTTGAAGGGGATTAAAAACTAATAAAAGAGTTAATTATAATATTTGAACATAACAGAATTCTCATACAAATGATACAAACAAAATTGCATGAGATGAGAGAAGAAATAGGCCACTTGTGAATCAAGTGTCCAGTGATAGGTTAATAGAGGAGGCATTTGAAATAATTCTTGAAGAAATAGTGGTGATTTTAATAGGGAAGAATGAAATAATGGTCTTCCAGGCAGAGGGAAAACAGGAATAAATAATCAGGAAGACAGCCAAGAGACATGTGAATTGAAGGAAGGATATAAGGTCTGTATGGACATTTTATGTAATGATAAAATGTAGATTGAATCATAATGTTTAAGGGCTTAATGTCAGGTTACCAATTTTTAATTTTGCTTTGTAATTAATGAGTAGTCATTCTAAATTTCTGTCGGTAAACAAGTAAAAGAAGATGGTTAGAATATTTTTATCTACTCATGATTTATACATGTAAGATAGATTAGAAGAAAAAAGATGACCAATTACAATTCCTTTATGGTAGCCAAGGAATGGCATTATACTGAATGATTACAGTGGACCCAGACAAACCCATGAATAAATAAAAGATAAATTATATATGACCAATATAGAGTATTAAATTAAATTAAAAATTAGAGAAATCAAGAGGAAAATCCTTTAGGGAAGATGATTAATCCATTTTCAGACATGATGAGCTTCATGCCTGTCTCATGCTTTGGTTTTGTTTCACGGTGCTTAGCCAGCAGGCCATTGGAAATGTTTTTGTTTCTAAGTAACAAGATCAAGACTAAAGTATAGCAATGATGTTTGAAACCAGGGAATGGTTGTACTCTGGCAGGAAAGAACAAGTCTGAAAAATGTTAAAGATAAAACTATACACATCATTGGGGAAATCAGCAAGGGAGGAGAGAGAGAAAGAGAGAGAGGGAGAGAGATTGATTTTCATAACAATAGATCAGACACAATAGTAATAGTGTTCGTATGTCAAGAAAAGGGGGCTTCAAAGAAAGAGGTGGATTGAGAAGAGGTTATTGGATTTGGATGCTGATGCCTTTCCCACGAGTATTTAACTCAAATAGATTGTATAAACTACTTTGCATGGGGATAATATTATATGTGGGATAAAACATCATTTCTAAGTGATTGATGAAGGAAAGACGAGAAATAACACAAAAACTAAAGATTACAACTATGCCATAGACTATTTTCAAGGTCTTGGACATGAGGTTATGTTTAGAAAATAGTACAGAAAAAAGTAATACAAAAATATTATGTTAGATTATATTATATTTGTATTTTTCTCTTAATTTTCCCATTTTTTGGTATCTATAATTATTAATGTATCTTAGAATAAAGGCTGTGAATGGGAAGGTTTTTTCCTCTTTTCTCCTTAATTAGACTTGTCAGCTCTCTGTAATTTTTAATGGCTAGTCCAAAGAAAGTATTAGTGTATTTTGTGTTATATTACATTACCATTATTTTGTCCTCTAATTCCCTTATTATTAATTCTTCCTTCTCTTCATCTTAGTTTTACATATTATTTTTTGCCTAGTTTTGTGAGTTGAATACCAACTTCATTTATTTCATTATTTCTCATATTATAATAAAAGCATTGAAGAACACAAAATGTTGTTCTAAGTACAGACCTGTTGGTATCATCTAAGTTTGTATGGAGCATCCTTATCCGCCCAGAAGAAAAATATTTTACCATGAAGGCATTTGTGCTAGAATGTTCATCGCAGCTCATTATCTTTTATTTCTAAAGGGTCCTAACTGCCATTTTGACCTGACGTATTAAAAAAAGTTACTTAATTCTAAGTGGTTGCATTTTATGTTTATGACCTTTATTTCTGGGTTTATGAGAAAATGTTATCAGAAACTGTAACCTAAACAACATTTTAAAATTAATCTATTAAAAATTTTCACAATCCATGTTTAAGTACATTTTCACTGAGCTATAGAATTGTTTAATTTTTAATTTCTCTGATAGTTTTGTCTTGTATGCTTTGTTGCTCATAAAACAGCATATAGGTTCTGTTTTTATTGACACCTGGGGGTTGAATCTAGATTATTATTGTTATGTCCTCCAGTCCTCACATGTAAAAGAAAGCTTATCAGATTATTTACTATGTAATAATAAGAGTTTCTCCTAAAAAATGTTACAGTTCTTTTCATTCTGCATCTGTATTTTAGTAGAGATATTTGAGATTATCATTTTAAAAAAAATTATAACTACATTTTGGTCTTGCTTGAAATTTATTGAAATTGGTTTAACTTATAAACCTCTATTAAAAAGTCTTGTTTTTTTTTTCAGTCCCTTCCATTGATTTTCAGTTGCAATCTATTTACATAGATGTTTTTTCAACAAAGAAATACTTTATTTTATAATACCTTTCATTGTAACAATTTTTCTCCTATAGAAATGTTAGTTGTCCATAATTTTCTTAATGATCTCTGTCTTTAATTCTCTTCCATATTTTTTTATTGTTTCATCTTTGTATTTCTTTCTTCAATGGTTTGAGAAACTTTATAAATTTGTGTGTACATCAGTAATTTTGATTTTAGGCAAATTATCTTTCATTTCAGTGTTTCCTATGTAAATTTTAATTTCGTATTTAGCTCTCTGTGCTTGCCTGTTGTTTTCAACTAGACTTCTTAACTTTTTATTTAAACCTGTTCTTGTTTAAAATGTTTATTAACTGTTTTATACATATATTTTAAGAGCCCACTGGTCCAGTTTTATATTTGGAACAGGGCAACCCTTCCCAACAGTGCTTCCTCCATCATAGATGTTCAATGTCAACTACATTCAACTTTTCAAATTAGCATTTCCTTAATGTGTTCTACTTCCTACTTTCGAATAACTTGGTTACATTTAATTCTTTTTATTTATTTATTTTCCTATGTCAGTTGGTAGTGACTTCTTACTTTGTAAAATGAGGACTTCTCTTCTTACCTGTCTTCCCCTGTGGTTCACATCCCCTGTCCTAGCACCCTCTTGGTGTAGCCACACTGTAATTGACATTATCATGGTCATAGAGATACAGTTTCTAAGTGTGTCACCTGTTATGCTTTTTATGATCACTTTTACTTTCTTGGAAATTAGTTTTGATGTCCCTGTATCTAATAATCATCATTTTAAAATTATTTGTTTTGTATTTTATTGTTTCTG